TATTCCTCCCATGCTCCCTCTCCCTATCCCACTATGTATCAACCACCTTATATCAAAGAAAACATTCGGCATTTGGTTTTTTGGGGATTGGCTAACTTCACTTAGCATTATCTTCTCTACATTTACCTTCAAATGCCGTGATTTTATTCTCTTTTATTGCTGAGTAATATTCTGTTTTTTATATATATAACAGAATATTACTCAGCAATAAAAGAGAATATATATATATATATATATAACAGATATATATATGCACCACATTTTTAATCCATTCATCTATTGAAGGGCATCTAGGTTGGTTCCACAGATTCAAAATTATTTCAAAATTCTCTTAACTCTCAGAACACAAGACCTAACTGGTTATAAAATATGTCACAAACTATACTTTCTAAACACTTTCCTAGGTTATGTATGTAGAATAAGTAATTTCCAAAGTCCTTTCCAACTTAAAAACTTACAATTTGGTAATCTAAAAAAAGTTTACATCCAAAATCAACTGATATACACAAAACTAGCCAAAGGATCAAGTTCACTAATTTTCTCAGGCTTCCTAGCCTTGACACGTCACCCTTTTCACTACTTACACATTCAATAAAATAAACACAAATTTCCTTACTACTGAGCAGGGACCAAAATTCTAATTTTCTTTCCTGTGGTGGGAGGGACAGTATTTAATTGGTAGCCTAAGAACATTGTATCATAACTTAAATCTATAAAAAGTAGAGTGAGCATTAATTTTCCCTAAAAAAATGTTTTTAAAAAATCTGAGTATTTAGTTCTCTCAAGGAGAAAATTAACCCCTCTTTTGTCACAGCGTGACCTCTTCCAATTCTTTTTCCCCAAACCTTCTATCATCTCATTAAATTTTATAAATAAACCTCTGAGGACATCAAATATACTTTGCTTATTTTATAAAAGAAGAAACTAACACAGAGATTGTTATGCAATTATAATAGACTTCCCCACTGAGACACAATGATTTATAACCTACCAATAGGCAAGCTTGTATAACTCTGTTTACATTAATTGATTGAACATTTTACTTTCTGCTTCTTTTATCATGCATAATATACATGCCAGATTAAATAGTTTAATAGTTTGACCTAATCAATTACTTATCAAACAAGACTATATAACTAGGCTAGGTTTAAAGTAGGTCGTATCCATCTCATTTTTATTGGGGTTTTTCATCCTGAAATAATTTGATCTTTTGAAAAGCAAAGTCTATAAAGCATGATTCCACTACACTCAACAGTACTGTTTTTTAACACTTAAGAATGTAACAGGTTTTACTTAGCATAGAAAATAAAGACCTGTAATTTAATTTTCAAGTGCAACAGAGGATTTCCTTCCTTTCTCCTTAGCAATAAAAGACAAAGATGCTAGTTCCAATTCCTATCAAATTAACCAAAATCAGACTCACTTAATAATAAAAATAAATCACACCTAAAATGTGTCCATATTCAAGAAAAAATTATTTATAAGAGCATTAAAAACCTGGCTCAACATAAGATTACAGGAATGTTATTTCACAATTGAAAATAACTGTTTTAAAAATACAGATCAAGGAGTTTAACATTAGTGTGCTTTTACACAAGGTTAGATCCAAAACAACTAAAAATAAAAATCCTGCAACAAAAAATAATTTTTAAACTACTGAGTCAGCATCAGGATTCTTCAATAAATGTTAGAAAACAATAATAGCATACATATTGATCACTGCAATTAATGTCTCCATTAATTAAAATTAGACAACTAAAATGAGCAGTGTTTTTTGGGGAAATAATATTGTTGACATTTACTTTTTTTTTTCATTATTTAGAGAATACTTTATTAGTTTCTGTAATCAAACCCACGTAGATAAGACCTTACATATTTAATACAGTGTGTAAGTTACCCCTGTACAAATGGAAAAAAATTAAGTTTAACATTTCTAGACCAATATGGCTGTTAATTTCTGTACAATGCCAACTCAACACGGTAAACTGGGATACTTTTCCAAAGTTGACAGCACAGCTAAACTTTCCAAAAATTCAAATTATCTATATATGTGTGTGTGTGTGTGTGTGTGTGTGTATATATATATATATATATATATATATATATATATATTTATATTTATATAAAAAGACCAATAATAGCAGTATGTTCTGCATCAGCAGCAGCAACAGCGTTTCCAGGTTCTGCAGTCATATGAACAGAATCATAGACACACCCAGCACACTCCATTTAAAAAAGGGGGGAAAGTAAAAAAAAACAAAAACAAAACAAAACCCGAGAAAACAGCAAAGTTCTGTTACTGTTGTGATACCTGGCACCATTTTTTTTTATTAGCTTCTCAATCATCAGCTGAAAAGAAAACATTCTAGTGTAACATCATTAAAAACAGCTCTGATAAAGCAAGGTCACTACCACGTATCATAAAGCAGGTACGAGAGGTTTAACATTCGCAGCGTGACATTTACTTTCCTGGACATAAAATTAGTATCAATGTATACATTTCTGAATATTCTGGGGTAAATCATCAAAAAAAAAATTAAGATTATTCCAACTCTTAAAAAATGATGGATATTAAACAACTTTCAAAGAACATAAAATGTAAAATAATGGAACATATTTGAAAATATATATATGTATGTATACAGATTTAGATATGAATAGATATAGATCTGGATATACTAAGCAGTTAAATAACCACATTATAAATTTAACCTTCTGAAATTTTGACAAAACTTTATTGAGATGATTATTTTACAAAACACAATGACTTGGCTTCCCTTCCCACCACACGCTACCAGTAAAATGAAACTGGGGAAGCTATAAACTGTATTCAAATACCAAGCCTACATTATTTAAAACACTCTGTGAAACATTTATTAACTGTTAAAACACAGGCCTTTGTCAAATCAGTAAACTAAGTAAATGAGGGATGTAAAAAGAAAATTCATGATTTTCTATATTAAAAAAGTCCTGCCTCTTAATATTTAAGCTTGATGTCATAATCCTCATGACTGTATACAATAAATCTTTTGTACCAAATTCATCTGCAGAAAAATGATGGAATGATAATAGTGCAGAGTGTTCTGTAGTCATCTTTCTGTGATAACTGATGACAGTGATTATTGTTAAAGATGATTAAGCAGCACACTGGAAACATATACAGGTTGCCTGGGTAACTTTTTTCACTTTCAAACAAAGGTTTTCTCTTACCTAATTCTTCCCATGACTCAGAATAGATTATGAAAAACTAAGAAAAATCAAATTAAATTACTGTACCAGTTTTTATCTTAAAGAGTTAATTGCTTAAACATTAAAATAATCCATTAACACTGACGCCAAATGGTTAAAATGATGTAAAAATTATTTTATTTGTTTTCATTTCTGATTATCAAGAGCAGTTGTCATCAGGATGAGGTGCCATTCCAGCTTTTCCTCTCACTCACATTCACGAATAGGCAAATCAGTCTTAACCTAGATAACACCATGCTAAAAAATGTCAATGTCCAAAAAAGAAAAAGAAATCCAAACAATCATGTATGACAGGCAGTTGATTTTCCATTAGTAGTAGGGTGCTTATATAGCACAGATCTTAATAGCTTTTTTCATGGCAAGACACTCTTTATTTTCTTAGGAAAATATCAAAATTATGTGTCCCACAAGGGTAATGCTTTTCAAGACTAGAATCTGCCCTAAGGTTCTGACATTTTAGGTGGCTCCCTGCCACCAAGGACTGAGGGTTCAATTCCTTAGCACACCATAACCTCTTCCTGGTTTGAGAAAGTCATATAAGCATTATGAAATTGATATGGAGGCAGGGAATATTTGAATTTCAGGTAGCTAGAAGCAAGTTAGATCAAAATAATGAATGAAGAATTGAAAAAAAAATGAGAAGATGGTTGATTATCAGATTTGAAAACACTGGATCAATTTATCAGGGGGCGGGAAATAGAGCACATCCAACAGTCTTTGTTATGTTTAATCTTCACTACTTCAGAAAAAAAACAAGCGTTATAAACTTATTTCCAAGATCACTTGAAGTTTCAATTTTATTTAGATTTTTTTATGTTTATTTTTGTTTCACAGTGTTGACTAACAAATTATTAGTTTTAATGAGAGTGAGCCACTGTGATTGAAGACACTACAGGCTGATTGAAACAAAAATTTGCTACTGAAACTTATAAAACTACATAAGTATGAAAGAACGTTAAGTTAGAGTAAAGCAAAAGCTTTCTGTAGATAAGATAGATTTAAGGATGTAAGTGACCCAAGAGTGTAAATGTCTTGGTACAAGCAAAAATTCCAGGCAGTGTATGTCAGATTTTCAAGGCAGTGGAATTGGTGGGGTGTAAGTCAAGGGATCCAAACAGTAAAAAGGGACTCATGTAAAACATCTTGGTTACACATGAAACAAACAGGAATGCTCCCTGAGATAATGAAGGCATGATATGAGGAAAGAGTCGAGTGGGAAATGGAACAACAGACCTGAGCAGAGGGATCTGCTGGCTGGTGGGCAGGTGGAGGAGGGGCACAACCTCCTCAAGTCTTCTCTCCCACCCTCAGAATCCTTTCCCTTTGTGACTCTTCAATGGTGTGTGATGCAAGCCTGGGGATACAGAGAAGCCCAGGCACCCTCAGAACTCATTTGCCTTAGGCAACCGAGCAATTCAGAGGATGAAGAATGTTTTCTCTTTGCTGAATAGCCATACTGAACCATGGTTGATCTTGGTTCAATTCTTTGGGATATTGATCCCAAAAGTACCATTTTGAGTGGGTTGGTGTTGCTTTTTCTATACCTGTCCTTTCAGGTATTGAAACGATTTTCACCAACACTCGAGAAAAATAAAGCCATCCAGAAGAAGGTAAGGAAGCAGAGTGAACTCCCAAGGGAGTTTCTTGATTTTGTCAAATGTGAAATGTTTTGTGAAATGTCAAATGTGATATGTTATTTCCATTCTCGCATTACTAAATGTTTGCTTGGCTCAAAGAAGATGTGACTTGGGAAGTCTGAGGACAAGATAGAACTTCACTCTTTAGGGAAAGAAGTCAGAGGTTCAGGAAGGACTAAGGTTTCCATCTGAAGCTCACAAACTATCTTTTGGGGTGTGATGGAGGGTTCCAGATTGGTTTGGATAGAGAGTGTGGCTTCTCTGAAGGGGACGGGTTTCTTCTGACTAGATTCTGAGTCTCATTCCCATGTCAGATGTGCTTCACCCAGCCTTCATATTGGGCTGATCAGAACAGCAGTGCTGACCTCGGAGTACAGTCTGTAGCCTGAGCTCTGCCCCAGGACACAGGGTTCCCTGGGGGAGCCCAGACGTGACTGTTGGCCTCAGATTCTATGCCCTCCTTCCGCAGAGGGTTTAAGACCATCAAATGTGGAATCTCACAGACAAAAATGTCCTTTGAAATTATCAAAGAAGTAAAAAATTGAAAATATTTCATTGCCCTTCAAGATTAATAAAAGGAAGGAATACAATTTCTACTAATTAAAAATGAAGAGTTGTCCAATTCTTGCCTAATGAATGTCTAAGCTTGTTAACAAAAGGAGTAAAAGAAATGAGCCCCAGCCCCTCATTCTTTTCTTTTTGTTTTCAGCGTCAGGGAACAAAGAGAAGGAGAAATGGAGTATCTAAAGGTAAGGTTCTGCCTGTTCAACCTGAGCTCTATAAGGGTGAACTTTCCTATCTCCCTACAGCTCCATGATCTTGGAGGATGTCAGTTTCTAGGTGCAGTCTCTCTCAGGAAACAGGGTCTCAGAGGAGAGGCTCAGGAGAAGGCAGTGAGACCTGAGAGATTCCTCAGAGTCCCTGCCCTGCCCACCCTTCCTTGGGTGTGAATGAAGTAGTGATGGACCTGGGCCTTGGACATTTACTGCCAAGTAGGGGCCCTGTGAGATGTCCAAAGACCCCTGATTGTCTTGGAGTCAGAATTTCTGTCTGGTGACATGGTGTAAACTACTTTAATTCTTGGCTGATTAGATTCATCCTGAGTTAGCGACTGATCCTTGTGCTTCAGGTGGTGGTTTTGAGCAGCATGTAGGATGGTACAGGTGAAAGTACTTTCTAAATGGAACCACATATACCTGTGAACCTTCTTACTATTATCCCTGACACTTATGACCTTATCTGCAGATTTTTAGGGCTTTCTGACTTTAATATCCTGTTTCCTGTAAAAACTCCTGAATGATAACCTGTGTTTTCACCTTTACTATATATAACCAACTGTCCTGGTTTTCCAGGTCGGAGAACTTGCCGGAGAGAAGTAGAGGAGTGGAGGAAGCTGCTTTCTAGTCTGAAAAGGTGATTAGTCATTTCCCTTTACTGATTCCTTTCCTAGCATGCTTTATTCAGTCCCCCAGGCATTCTTCGAAACATGCCCTAATCACAGGAGGGATAGCCATAGCCATGGGTACGTGAATAAAGAACTTGGGAGGGGAGGGTATTGTGAGGTCATAGATGTGTGGAATGTAGAGCAGGTAGCGGGCTCCCCACCACCCATAGAACTGCAGATCTTGCTTCCCTTGTACTGGTTCTGGTTACAGCTTTGGCTTTCTTTCTCTTACAGTCCCATGAGCCAGAATAATGATTTCCTCCACTTTCTGCAACTGTTATGTAAATGCCCGCTCTGTGGGGTGTATAACAGAACAGGAGCTAAGGTCAGTCAACTGATCTGTAAGGCGTTCTTGGAAAATGCTCTTAATTCTGTGTCCCGTGTGTCTTCCGTGACGTCTGTGAGAGAGTCATCAGTTTTTTGGTCCGCTGTTGTCTCTGCAATCCCTCTGGGAGCTTCAGTTTCAACTCCTTTAACTGAGCCAACTCTATTTCCTTCCTCTATTCGTTCACCTGACCAAATTACCCCTTTAATGGACCTACCTGGACCCTCATTACTGGGTGACTCTCTGCCACCAGAGCCTTCTCCCTTGAGTTCAAAATTGCCAGTGGATCATATCCCACCTCAACCATCTGTTCCAACTCCTCCCCCACCTGTTCCAACCCTTCCCCCACCAACTGACAGTCAAGAAGCAAAACCTGTTCTCCAACCAGAAGCCCCTTTGTCTCTGGTGGATAGCCCTGATGGGTTGTCTACTAATGTCCCAACAACCACATGCACTGACAGTGCAAGCCTTCCAGTGTCAGAGTTCTCTGGAAACCAGTCTCATGCTGAAAACTTGTCTCCATCTAAATTGGAGCACTCTGATGATGACAAAAACCTCCTCGACCTCCATCCTCCTGAGGCCTCTTTTGAGAGTGATACTACAGCCATCCTTGTAGAGCACGGAAACCTCTCATTTCTATGCCCTGATGTCTTGGCCCTTCTGGAGAGACATATAAAAAAGAAGGGTGGTTTCCTGATGCAGAACAAAAAGAAAAAGGAAAAAAAATCTTTTCCAAAAGAACTTAAGCCAGACGACCAATTGAATTCTTCAGGGAAAAGGTTAGAGTCAGTTGCTGAGCAACAGGACTCACCTGTCTCCCTTCCTTTACAGAGCAGTGAAGGCAAATCAGAGGGATTGCAGGTAGACCACCAGTCCTCAGATCCTAAGACCTTTGAGGATAACTTACCTAAAAAATGTACCCAATTCTTCTATGGTCTCCCATCTTTGCATAGTGAGTCCTTGAAATCTATAGTTCCCGTCTCAGGTGACTGTTCAACCTATGTCTGCTTCAATTCAATGCCCACTTTCTTTGAAGCCCCTGAATCTCTAGTTCTACCCCCTCCCCCAACTCTGTCCTTGCCTGAGATCCAATCTCAACCCTTGACCCAAGCACTGTGCCAATCTCCTGTCCCACCTCAGGACCAGCTTCAGTGCCAATCTCCTGTCCCACCCCAGGACCAGCTTCAATTCTCGGTCCCTACCTTGTCACCACCCATTTCATCTCAGGTTAGTGATGGTGGAGTGAGGATTCATAGATTCCAGGATGAGGTACACTCTCTCATGCCATCCAAAATTCATGACTTGGAATATAATGTATTAGAGAAAGGACAGGAAAGTTTGTGGGGTTTACCCTCTGTGGTTCAAAAATCCAAGGAAGAGTTTTGTCCTGCAGCTCCCAGTGTTTTATCTGATTGTCGGTCCTCCAAGGCTTATGCTCCAACAACCATCATTCCGGGAGATTTTCCCCTCAAAAAAGAGCTTCGGAAGAAGCTAGAGCACCACCTTCGGAAAAGGCTTATTCAACACCAGTGGGGTCTGCCCTGCAGAGTCCTTGAGTGTCTGTCAAGGATGAGTCCTGAAACAGAAATTTCCGAAATATCTGAGTCAAAGTCCACTTACGGACTTTCATGGATCTCTTTGTTTAAGGGTCAAAGTAGCAAAGATTTACAATTGAGCCATCCCAGAAGTTTCCATGAGAAGAGCTCAGAATTACTTCCACTAGAGGAGAGAATGAAGAAAGTAAATAGTCTAGAGATTGGCACAAAAGATGATCCATTGAGTGACTCAGAGGGGGCTCCAGATAATGATCTGGACTCTGACTTTAAGACAAACCTAAAAAACGAATTGAATAGTCTTTTTGGAAAAAAATCAAAGATCTCAGAGGAGAGCTCAGTTCAGAAACAACTGACAGAAGCCCTAGAAATACATTTGAGCAAGAAATTTGAGGAAATCCATGTGTGTCAGATGCCTGGCACCGTGAATAGATCATTGCATTCTATGGAGCCAGTATTGATTAGTCCTGAGAAATCCCTTAGCCAAACGAAACACAGAGATTTGGTACCACTGGTGTGTAAGGACAAGGGCCTCAATACCTCCCAGGATATATCCTTCCTTGGTTCCAACAAACAAAAGATCTTGGAAGACCATATTAAACTGTTCCATAAGAGGATGATGTGTGGGCTTCCTCAAAAGGTCCAGGAATCCATAGACATCTTCAAAATGAAAGGAACCCCATCCTGGTCCTCAGTTCGCTCCAACATTTCCTCCTCATCCAGTCTTACTTCTGGCAAGTATTCCAAAATTGGGGTCTCCAAGCCCCTTAAAGAAAGCATTAGTACTTTTCACGTAAATAAGGTGGGAACAATAATTTCAGGCCCTACTCTAGATCATCCTCTTTCTGCCACTTCACCTGTGAGCAAGGAAAATAAGAGGGCCCTAACACATTCACCCTCTCACACCAACCCTGAGCTTACAGAGAATGTCAAGGCAATTGAGGGTGACAGACGGGCTTCGTTGCCCTTCCCACACAGTGACAAAGATAAAGACAGTCAGAAACAGACTGTAATAGCCAATAAATGCAGCCCAAAGTTGCCCACAAAGCAGGCTGGGGCCAGACCCAAATCATGGAATAAGGGAGTGAGTCCCAGCAATAGTATAGAAAATATCCAGAGAAAAATGATTAAGAATTTAAAATATTTTCCCATGTCTAACAAGTCCAGGGAGATATTCAAGGCAAAGGAGCTCTGTGCTATTCGATCACAGTCTACGAACAGCCTGACGACCACAGAGTCAGAAAGCTCCTCAGTGACAGATATGAATATGAGTAAAGTTGAATCAACTCTAACCATTGAAGGGCCCCCAGAAGGAATATCAGTTCTCAAAGATTCCGAATCATTAGATCTTAAAAATCAGTTGCTTAATGAGTTGAAGATGAAAATCGAGAGCAGGGAGCGGGGCCTGGTTCCAGCCTTTTCTACTGAGTTGTCTCTGGCCTTAGATAAGTTGACTTCCAAGACCCTGGCTTCCAAGACCTTAGCTTCCAAAACCTTGACTTGCAAGACCTTGACTTCCTTCACTCATTTTCATAGTGCCTCTAGTGGGGACATGGCAGCTCCCCAGGTGCTACAAGCCCAATGTGACAACAGAGGGATCAACATAGAGCAGGGGCAAGAACACTGGATCCCTACACATGTCTTATGCAAGTGTCAGGACAAGAATGTACCCTTAGCATCAAAAAGGGTGTGCCCTCTGGTACCCCAAACAGGCAAGTTTTGTGGAGGGGATACAGGGTTGGTGACACGCCAACCTAGAGGGAAGCTCCCCCACCCTCAAGACAGAACACTAAAGGAGGCACTTGGGAGCAAGTCCTCCTCAGCCCCATCACTGAAGGGACAGCCTTCTAAAAGCCAGTTCAAACACTTTTTTCAAAGGCTTTATCTTGGTATAAAAGGCAAAGGGCAAGAAGGTTCTCTGGAAAAGGGCAGCTCTTCATCATCTGTGCAAGGCAGAAACCCAGCTAAGAAGAGAGCTGCCTTTACTGGGAATACTGAAGCTCAGAAAATCATGACAGACATTGGGATCCTAGAGGAGAAACTAGCAGGTCGGCATGGAGTAGAGGCCACCGCCCCACAAAAGCCTCTTTCCACCCCCATGAGGCCTGGGAAAATTCAGCACAAGACTGGATTGCCGATTCAGGCAGAACCCATCCAGAAACATGACTTCAATGTCAATACTCCCTGTGCTAAGGTGCCAAGTGCCAAATCTTGCAGCCACGAAGTTGGCTTTGCTGGTCAGTGGTATCGTATAGGGAATAATAAATGGGTCATGGACAGGGGCAGACAGCCCCAGAAAAGTGTACCGTACAGGACAAGATAATATGTCAGAAGCATCACCCATCCATGCCGCACAAGGAACCCTTGCCCCATCTGAATACTACATGCAAATATAGAGTTGGTCAGGTGGCTCCAGCTGCTGCTCCTTTTGCTAAAGGCACTGTGTTGGGAGAGTTGTCCCTATTGTTCAAACAGAAAATGCTTCTCCAGAATTTTCAGAAAGAAAATTTTCTTCCCCCCAAATAATTTATCCCTTTTTGAGAATACTGATTTTCCCCAATAAATTTTCTAACAATATGGTGTCTTTTCTTGTGTTGGGGGTTTGGGTTTTTGGCAACCTACTCCTTGTGTTTAGGGAAGGGGAGAAAGTAGTTCAGCTTTTATTGATTGCCTCTCTGGACTTCTAAAAAGGGGACCAAATCTCCTGGACCTCTCATTAAGGAAGGGATATCATGTTTTCAAAAAACACCTTTCCTCTTCCTGCTGAAACCTGAGGAGGTGGCACTGCTTCCTACCCCTTAGCTTAACCTTAATGGCATTATATATGGCATCCCACACCTTCCCCCTGCAGTGAGGAAAATAGGTCTTCTATATCTAAAGAGAGAGTCAAGGGGCTAGGTGTTTTGGCACAGCGGTAAAGCGCTCACCTCTAGGCGCTGGGTTTGATCCTCAGCACCACATAAAAATAAAGGTGTTGTGTCCAATTACAATGAGGACAGGGAGAGAGAGAAGGACAGGAACAATTTTGAGAATGGTTAATAGAGTGGCTTAGTCATTTTTTACAAACATGTCAGTTATCAGGAGTTCATACAGGAGGGTGAAACTTGCTTGAGAATGTTTAGGGGGTACTGCTGCAGTGGATTCTGGGTGATTGGGGTAGGGTTTAGGAGCAGGGTAGGTGCTGCTTAAGAAGTTTTTATAAGGCATTATCTTATAAATAACCATACTTTGAATTTGCCATTGTGGTTCCTTAAATGGTTCCTTACTGGAAAATCACTTAAGAGTTTCCCCTTGCTGGTTACTTTTTCATGCTGCCTGGACTTGGTATTTTTGCAAAGCAAAAGGTTAGCCAGTTGTTGTTGATAGGAATTTTAACCAGGCAGTTACCTTACTCTCAGGTAAGAATAAAGATGCTTTAAAGAAAGAGGAGGCTGGGGTTGTGGTTCAGTGGCAGAGTGCTTGCCTCGCATGTGTGAAGCACTGGATTTAATTCTCAGCACCATCAACTAAAAAATTTTTAAAAAGAGAGAAAGTAACACCAAAACAAAACAAAAAAATGAGGGGAAAAATGACCTTTCTGGTGGAAGAAAGGATTATGCTTCATCACCTCCACATTGTGAACAACTACTCTTTCCCAGTGTGATCCTGCCAGCACTTCCCTGAGGCTCATCAGGTGATACAGTGGTTACTGATGTCATACTGGCAGAAGTGTACATGAGGTTGTGTGGCTGTTGTCAAACATGGCATACCTCTTTTCAGGTGGGACTAAGGGGGTAACCTTGGTGTCAACATGCAAGATCTTGCCCTTAGTGTGTACAGTTCACTTTCCAGGATGCAGACGTCATTTTTGACTTTCATGGGCTTCTTAGAGACATGGTCGATCTCCCTCCATCACCTGCAGCTCACAGTCCAGAGTTGAGTCCTGGACCATGCACCAGAGTCACAGATATTTGAGGGTTTATCACAGACCTGCATAAAATGCTCCTTTTAACCAAGATTCAGCACACATTTATTGTTAAAATAGGGGTCTGTTGGGAAGGCAACTGCACTTGCACAGATTGGGACTCAAAAATGGGTTGAGTTTCCCAGAGGCTTTTTTTTTTTTAATTAGTGCATTTTAATTATACAAAATAATGGGTTTCATTGTCTCAGAGTACTCTTGAATTGTTTTTTTTTTTTCCCCAGAGACATTTATGAATACTGGATGTAAAAATAGAAATGAAAAAGATATATGTACCAAAGCCCCTGCATTCTACCATACTTCTTTTACTCCAGAGTTATGCCATTGATTTGCAGTATCTAAAGCTTAGTGTTTCAGACAGACTCTGCAGAGGCTCTGGGAAGAACAAAAAGTGGCAGGGGTTCCATGGGCAAAGGACTTGCAGGGGTAAGGAATCAGTCACCAACATCCATCTGGAGAGACCTACCAATAATTTACCTCTTAGTTCCTTTTAACCCATATTAGGGTCCTTCTATTCCAGTTCACTTACAGCCATGTCCAGGAACACCTCTGCCACTGGAGTAATATAGCCTGACTTTCTTCCCTCTGATCTCACCCTCTGTCCTTCCATTATAGGCCCTCAATTTGTCAGCTTTCCAACTCCCAGTCTTTATTTTTTGCACTTACTCATTTATCTACTAATTTATTTCTTCCCTCTTCAAGGTAGGCCTCAAGATCTCTCAGGCAACCTGCATTTAGCACTGCTCCAAATGGGCCTAATTCAACCCCATTTAATCCTTACTCTCTGGCCAAACCCTTTCTCTCTACCTTTTCCAGGAATGTCTTCCTATAAGTGACTGATTGCTGTTGGATTTAAATCTTATAAATCTACTAGAACCACCCTAAATTCATGATACACACTAGCACTAAATAGAGATAATTCACTCATTCATTCCCCCAAGTTATTATTCTATGCTTAGTTTCAGTTAACAATCCTTATGGAGCTTAGGTCACTGATTCCTTATCCACTCTTCTATACTACTCACATTTTTTTCAAACCTTCTGCACTTTCTTCAAAATGAGGCCATCTCCACTTAGCAGATGTATTGGACTCATAAACCACAAAGGAACTGAAGCCATTCATATGGGATCTTGGCATGAAAAACACTTCACTATCAATTCCTCTTTTCCTCCTTTTTTCCTGTTATATAGAATGTTTTCCTTCCAAGGTCCCAACCTCAAAGGAATTACACTCCCAGAATGTCTTTACTGAGAGCTCAAATCTAGTTTTGACAGATTGTCCCAACTTTGTCAACCATTCTTTTTGGTCTTTCCCTCTCCTTATGAGGCAGTCAACATTTTCTCTTTTAAAAAGATTATTACAAAAATGTTTAAACATATAGGGATGGATTAAACAATAAAACTCCCCATGCACCCTATACTCAACTTTCATAATTATCATTTGACATGTGCGGTGTCCCCCATCTTTTATATTAAGATTAAAGTCCATCTCTCAGGTGATATGCTATGTAGGCTGTGTCAATCATATTCCCATGATATTTATCATACAAGAAACACATGCAGAACACAGGTATACAGCATTGGCGATTAAAAACAGTGAGCATAATTTGACAATCTGTTCTGCTCTGCCTTTTAACACTGAGGAGTCATTCAATTCCTTCCCCAACTTCATTCAAGAAGTAACCTTACAAAATTCAGTGCACAGAATGTGGACAGAAGATGGCCGCTGCGTACAGGGGTTGCTGAAGTGCTGAGCGTGGTGCTCAAAACAGCGGCTTTAATAGAGATTTCGCACAGTCTGTTAAAGCTCCTTTCACCGTTAATCTGTAGTGGACCACTTTGCCAAGGAGCAGGAAGAACAAAGAAATCGAAAAAGAGACGCTTGGCTGCTCAGAGCCGCGGGCGCTTTGCTCCCATCTGCTTCCTCTTTCCCTTCGCTCCGGGCAGAGAAGCTGAATGTGTAATCAGCAGTGGATTGTAAGTACCCGAGGCAAAGAAAGCTCAGTGCGCCCTGCCTTTTCTTTTTTTTTTTTTTTTTTGAATATTTTTTATACAGGGAGAGTTTGTGGATTGGGATTGTTGGCGGGGCTGTGGTTTCTGTGCCGAAAATCCACTCCGCGGGAGCCGCCATTTGCTTTCTGCTTGCTGTCTTGATGGCTCTGTATACACTGTCCAGCAGCCGCACCTTGAGGTTGGAGCTGGGCTGCGTGCCGAGCCCTGTCCTCCGAAGGCTGGACTGCAGCCTCGAGCGTCTCGGTGGCCTGTTCGCCGCTGCACCTTCGGGCGGAGCCTGCTCTGGGGTCGTTCTGCACCTCCCTGCCAGGGGACCCGTGCTCCGGAGGAGGGGGACGGAGAGCCGCGGCGGCAGCCGCTTGGGCCCCTGGGGCCTGGCACCGGGCTGAAGAGCTGCGGAGGCCAGGGCGGCTCTGCTACGGTCGCAGACAAGCGCGACGCTCGTCAGCGCGGCCCAGAGACGGAGGCCACGGCGGCAGGGTTTCATTTCTAGAAATCTGGACTGGAAACAGAAGCAGCAGTTTGTATAATCCCAAGAACTTGCTTATACCAGGAAGCTGTAAGGGCAACATGAATATTACTGAGGAGATGTAACATGGTGGCAGGCGCAGAGAGATCAAGTCTCTGACATCTTCAACTGCGCGGGCATAGGGAGCCGTAAACTGTCTAAATGCTGTTTGCTCAGGATCACTAGGCAATGCTGAGCTGACGTGGATCTGGGGTGTACAGGCTGGGCCCCTCAGAACACACACACAGAGCCCGAATCGGAGGCAATTAAGCTCCGGTTCGCCTGCTTCGTGTGACTCAGCACTAACGATCCCGCTGAAATAATTGGCCGGCCCTTAGGAACTTACAGAGGTAAAAGCCAACCGAGCCTTCATAGGCAGTGGCCACAGGACTGAAAGGGGGTTTGGGAGAGACAGTCAGGACCCACCCGTTGCATTGGTCATCCGGCAAAGGGAACAAACGGTCACCATTTGCATGGGATATCACCATGGCAGAGAAATGGCGTCACGGGCGGAGGAGATAACTGCATTGAAACCAGCGCGACAGGTGTGTAATCCCCTACCATCTCTCTCCACACAGCGGGGAAACCTTAAGGGCCACTCCCAGCTCTCCTGTGAACGCAATAACCAGACCGAGGGAATCAGGAGTGGCGCGGGACTCTCGGCGCGGAACTCCCGGCTACCGCTCCCACCAGTGCTGACAACTGAGGTCTCTTGCACCAGCTACCGGGGGCGTGGCTACAGGAGGGCAAGCAAATTCGCTGGGGGATCTCAGCCCCAAGCACTACAAACTTAGGGTCTGAGGGAGGCAAACAGGGAGAGTGAGCCCAGGTGTTCATGAAAACAGGGCTCCCAGGAGCAGCAGACCTGGCGTGTAGCCAGTATTGTGGTGAGCGCCACAGGTGAGCACGGCCTGGCTTGAGGAAACACAAGACAAGGCCCTAGACACTCAGGATTGGAGACCCGCCCAGTCTAGGAGAAAGAGCTGCTGCACAGTGAATGGTTCCCACCTATTGAGAGGAGAAGCTTGGCCCAGTGGGCACAGCTCCACCTACTGGAAGAGAAGTTAATAGAACTCTAGGACTGCATTTATTATT